ACCAACATCGCATTCCATCCTTTTGGTCGATCCCAGCCCTGCCGTTGCCGTTCGCCGTTCGCCGTTCACCATCGCCGCCGCTGTCGGGCGGTTTTCGATTGAAACACGCTGTAAATTGACAAGCCAAAGAAAGAGCACGCGAGACCTGCCTTTTGAGTGGATCATTTGCGGTCGTCAATCGCTTCGTCCCACAGCAAGAGACAAGACAGGCGACGCTGCAGGGGCACCGCCCCGTTTTCCGGTTTGGCGAACGCTGATGCACTGGCGCACCTGCAAGCCATGCTTGCCGTGGCACTCTGAGCCTCAGCGTCCCCATGTCAACGGCAGAGGGCAGCGACTACCGAGGGAACCGCATGATTTGCAACCTTGGGGCCCTGGGTTTGCGGTGGCAGCCTTTCGCCTTCTCTGACTTCTCCATTCCATCCACCTTTGCTATCAATGCTAGCACGGCCTAGAGATCTTGCCCGCCTCGGTGATCAGGCACAAATACGGATACTATCAGAAATAGCACTTGCCATGGATTCTTGCCACTTTGTGTGATGGTGCAGGGAAAGGGTCAAGTCAGACCCGTCCCAAAAATGGGCATCTGGCTGTCATGCTCCCTTCGAGGCCGCAACATTCACCGTATGGTAGCCGTTCTATTGTGGTCATTGGTGGTTGGAGGTCGGCCCGTCGGTGGCAGAACCACGAGACGGTGTGGCTCAGCACTCACTGCTGAATTGCTGGGGAACAGCCAAGCTAAGCCAAGCCAAACCCCATGCGCCGACCGTTCATTCAATAGATGGGGAACGGTGGATGCACAGGTCAGCGAGTCCAGGCCTGGCCCACTTCGCTCCACCACCCATGCCTGAGCCATGTCACGATGGAACGGCCTTCTGAGCGGTCTTGGGAACGGCCGTGGGCGCCGTCGACCGCGCTTGATTGTCAATGCAAGATCGCCAACTGACTGGTAGTAACCTATTGCCCGAGGCCCGGCCTCGCAACAGTGGTCCACTCATAGCATTTGCTAATTAGCGTCTTGGGATGCTGAGAGGCGTGCGCCGCCCAATCAAACCAACCCAGCACCCGCGGCGTCACCGTTGGTACGGTTCTGCGTGTTGCGTCTCTTTTGTGTGTGTGTGTGTGTGTGTGTGTGTGTGTGTATGTGTGTTGTCCGGACTTTTGTCTGTACTGTGTAATCGTACGAAGCAGTAGCATGTGCGTTGGAGCAAGACCGAGGACGTTGTCCTGCTTCTGGGCCAGGCTGCTGACTGGCACTGCGCGAGCATCTCGAAATAGGACTTGGGGAGAGCTTGACAGCTATGCCCGCCAGAGTGCCTCGTCCGGCTAGGATTTAGTGTGAAATGCGTGACGGCAATGGACGCACTACGCAGCACGCAGCTCGGGCAAGTCCTGCTGCCGCTAGGCACAGCCTCCCCTGCGTTTGGTGGCAGAACGGTGGAACGGTGGTCCCCTACTATTGATCACGTACGCACAGTATTGCTCAGGGCTGAACCAGCTGCCCCCCAGGTCCCGGGTTTTTCTTTCTTTTGCTCGCCCCCAGATCCAAACACACACGGTACCGTTCCTACGCGCAGAGCAAAGCCCTCCTCCAACCCTCCAAGGTCCTACACGGCTCCAAGGCTGCCTCTTTTTTTTTCCTCCTTCCTATTTCTCCCCTGCTTCCTGTCGCCCTCACCTTGTCTTGAAGCTGGTTTCTCTTCAAGACAGTCCCAGACACACCGTCGCAAGCTGCACCAGCGTCCGTTCGCTTATCGATTCGCCGATTCACCTGCGCCCGCAAAAAAAAAAAAAAAAAAAAAAGGAGTCCCTACCGCAGTAATAAAGGAAGGCCGTGCGCAACCCGCCCCGGCAGAGCCCGCAACAAGTCGGCTGCCGCTGCAAAGCGTCTCCTGAAAGCAAGTCCCTGTCACGCTCGAACACATCAGCTCCTCTACCTGTTTCAGTTTCGCCCACCACCAACATAATTCAAAGCAAAGCATATCCCCCTTACCACGCACCGAGTCCCGTCTCAGTCGCCGCAACCTCCCGCAACATCGCGCCCCAAATCTAAGGACGCGTTCAGCCATCCCGCATTCCCGCAATCCCGCAATCGAGCCGCCAACGAGGCGCCCGCTCAGCTAGTCCCAAGCTTTTTCTGGTCAGCTCCACCAGAGCCTTCTGCTTGGCCGTCATCTTCCCTCTCCAACCTCCCGCGTCCGACTCCAATCGAATCGCATCGACCCCCCCCCCCCCCCCCCCCCCCCCCAATTGCCGCCGCCCCCGCCAGTCAAATTACCGCCCGAATACAACTCATAGAGCAGTCCGGCTCCTGCTCCGGAGTCAACACAATCCGCCCGTCGTGGCTCTCCTCAAGGAAACCCGCCGGTCGTATTTGGCCGGCTCGCAACCCATCTCGAGTTTTGACGGAACGAATAACGGATATCACTTTAGGGAGGGCATGGCTTCCTCAGGTCCTAGTAGCTCCGCTCGGAGTCGTGGCGACTTTCTCTCGACAAAATGGGCAAAGGCCTTCTTTATCACAGTCGCTCTGCAGGCCTTGATTTGCGTGGCATTTGAGTCGTACGTACCACAATGCCATTGATGCCCTAGAGTTCCTCGCATTCGATACTGACACATGTGCCGCAGATACGTCTTTGGCCGCTTTCAGATGAGTCTGTCGGGCACCTACCAAGGAGGGGAAGACTCGCGTCTCGAGTCGCAGTACAGGACGATACCGACATTCCTCGCTCTCTTCATTTTCGGTTTCTTATACGTGCTACTATTGTCCTGGGATGCTCTACGACAAAAGAACACCATTCAGGTCATCGGCCTCTGCATCGCTAACCTCGCCCTGTTTGTCTACACCATTTTGCAGATCGATCAGATCAACAACTCGATCAAGAAGCTGCTGAATGCCGGTGCGCTGCTTGACGACCTCAAGGACGTCGATGTCTGGGAGGTCAGCAGGCCTTTCCTCATCGCCATCCCGGCTATCATCGGTGTGGTCACCATTGCGTTGGCCTTCATCGCCTATCAGCTATACCGAGAATTCGCCTGGGATATCCTCAAGCAGATCGGCGCCGATTATCGCATGAAGAAGCGCTTCCTCCACTATCAGGTAAGCAACGCGTGTCTATAAATACACCTGTCTCGGGTATTCTAACCAAATCCAGGTCTACATTGCCCTACTGAAGTTCGATTTTTTCTTCTTCCTCGGGTTCACTGTCCAGTTTCTGGTTATCGTCACTGGCGTGACAGATGCCGAGTTTGGCCTCACCCTCGCCGCGATTCCCATAACCATTGCGATTCTCCTGTTTGCTGCCTTCTTCACGCGGCGGGAAAACAAGGTGGGCATGTGTATGGTTATCATGCTCTACTTTGGTGGTCTTGCATACTTCTTCTTCAAGTTGGTGCGCATCTACCAGCCGAGCCACAAGGCCCACTACGAAGCTGTTCAGAAGTCACTTACTGCATTCACCGTCATGACCATCGTTCTTATCATCCTCACTATTGTCAACGCATTTATCTGCATGAGCAACTTTGGGGAGGGGCTGAAGGACCACCTGGTGCGGCCGAAGGGTCACGATCTCGAGAAGGAGGATGCCAACTCGTACCAGCTGCAGGACCAGAAGCCCCAGCTTGCGAGCCGGATGACCATCGACTAAGTAGAAGAAACAAGCTTTTTGAGAGTTTTGCTCTTTGGACGACGTGGTGGCTATGAAAAGGAGAACAAGGTTTTACAGATGACGACATTTACGACCCATGGGCTCTGTCCTTTTCAGAGCCACAGTTGGAAGGGAAATCATGGATACTTTTTGTGAATTTCCAAGCTATGCCTGTGCGCCGGCGAGTGCGTGGGCAGTACAGGACGGCAGATCAGCGACGCGATCAGGGAGATGTCGTTTCGTTACGGGTCGATTTTATCATACTCACCTACTCTCTGACACGACAAGGCGTTTTTATTTGATTCCCTCGGAGCCGTAGCTCTTTCAGGGGAATGGTGGTGGGAGGCGGAATGGCGTTGTGGGTTTCTTTTTCTTTTCTAAATGGGTTCCTTGACCATACTTTACATTTTCTTAAACTGCGATTACCTCGAGTCGTCGATTTAGGGCTCGTTGTTTCACTTGTCAGGATACCATATCATACCACACCATTGCCATGTCCATACCATAAGCTGGCTGGCGGGCAAATGTTTTGTTTGCTGTCGTTGCGGTTACGAGCGAGCGAACGGGAGGAACGGAACGGAACGGGAGGGAGAAAGGATTGCTAGGGGATGCGGAGACAGAGAGGTCTGACTCTGCTACTATAAATGGTTCGACACGGTATCGGTTGCGGGTTGGGGAGCGATGCGGGATAGCAGCGGTGAGGTTGAGGGCGGTCATCAAGAAGACCGCCCCAAAACACCTGCAGAAGTACAGAAAGCACAAAACATATTTTGGCAGCGTTTGCAACAGGCGGGTTTCTCTATATCATTATTGTGCCAGCATCGGCTCACCACACATAGCCCTGTAGCATATTCATTCAGACCCTATACTGTACAACCCGGTTTCTGTTTGTTTGCTAGCCCTAGACATGGTAATTGGTTTGAAGTTCATCATGGGGTTTCCTTCCCATTGACCACAGCCCCCAAATACCCATGGAGAAACAACCTCTTGTAACGCGCGACCTCGAAACCATAAGTAAATAGGAGAAAGACGTTGCGTCCGTGTCCCACGTAAACTGACCTCTCCAAATATTTACTAGTCTCATTCTTGGAAATCAAGGGGGCTATTCAAACGCGGGGGCCATCCAAGGTACTTCTCCAATAGCTTGTTGATCATGACCCGAGGCTATTGAGTTTAAAAGCTCAGAGGTGCTGCAACGACACAATACATCAGTCCAATTTGAAACCCCAGAGAGAAAGGAGAGCCGGTCATCATGGTTCCCACCGTCTCACCCCGGCGAGGTTGAGCCAGGTAATAAAACAAAAATACGTATGTTCTGCCATTTGCAGAAATGCTAGCTGGGCCGACAAAAGTTGGGATTAGCAGGAATCGAACCTGCGTCGTCTCAGAATTTTGAGTCGCTTGACCACAATGAGATATACTAACCACTATACTATAATCCCTTTTCGATGAAATTGCCGATCCATATGTGGGTACATGTGTGGAGTGTGGATTTGGCTAGGGCTAAACAAAAAAAAAAAAAAAGGGGGGCCGCAGCCCTTCCTCATCCATATAACCACACCCCCACTCCAGAGCGTGGTTCCTACAACCAAAACAAAAAGATCCAGAAAGCTTCATTTGGATGATCGCACTTAGGATTAAACTGAGGACCTTTAGCAGAACTTGTCATTCTAAAACGATGCCCTTGAGAGCTCGATCAGTCAATTTTGTTGAGCTGACGTGATACCAACTACACCATGCGACCAGATGCTTCTTGGGACGCGGGGCTCAATCAAGACGTTGGAATGTGGATATACAGGCTTACCAAGGCTGTCTGTGACTGGATAAGGTCTGGTTTGAACATGGCGGCTGGCAACCTCGACGGAACACTGGGCTAGGATACTCTGCATGTAGCAGGTATGTGCAATTGGGAAGCTTGGAAAAGAGTCGTTGTTTCCGCACGTATCCCTCGTGGTCTAGTCGCTGCCAAATGTAACCCAAACAATGCTTATTTACTATGCCTATCCGGTGTCAACTGACAACCCGACATCACGACAGCGAGTACGGGTATCAAATACGAATTGCGTTCTTCAATCATCCAGCCCTCCCCACTCGCCGTCATCCCCACTCCCAGCGGCATCCCCCTCCCCATCGTCTTTCTTCACCATCTTGGCCTCCCTCTTCTTCTTCTTGCTCGCCTCAATAGCCCCCCGCATATTATTCTCCTTGCGTCTCTCATACGAGCCTTGCGTCGTGATGGACGCCTTGCCGCCAGTCCTTCGTGACTCGACGCCTCTGACCTTCAGCTTCCTCTTGTCCACCTTCGCAACCTTGGGCAGAGCATCGAGCAGCCACTTCTGCACGGTGCCGCCACCCTCCGCCTTCCCATCCTTACCCGCCTGTTTCTCGCTTATGGCGATGACGTTAGCCACGCTCTTAACGAACGGGATATCGTCCTTGGTGTAAAACGTCACAGCCACACCACCTTCGCGACCGGCCCGGCCCGTCCGCCCGGAGCGGTGTACGTACGCGGCCGCAGAGCCAGGGACGTCGTAGTTGACGACACCGTTGACACCGGCAAAGTCGACGCCACGCGCCAGCACGTCGGTCGTGATGAGGACCCAGACGTCGCCGGCACGGAAGCGCGTCATGATCTTGGACCGGATTGAGTCCGGTAGCGATGAGTGTAGCACGGCAATACGGGCGGAACCACCCGCCTCAGGCGGGATGTCATACTTGAGCTCGTCGTGGAGCGACTGGGCACGCTCGATTGTCTGCGTGAAAACGAGGAACGGTGGGCGCAGCGGCGGGCCCGAGTCGGCGCTCGAGACGGGGTGCAGTAGCTGGCGCAACGCGAGCAGCTTACCTTGCTCAGTTGCCGTGTAGATGAGCTTATGCGTGATGTTTGGCACTGCCGTGTCCTTGAGTCCGACAACGAGCCGGACTAGCGGCTTGGGGTTGGTGCGTAGATATTTTGCCCGTTTCTCAACTTGCTTTGTGATGAGCGTTTCGATGTTGGAGCCCATGGTGGCGGACCAGCAGGTCAGGCTCAAGTCCGGGTTAATGCAGGCTCTCCAGATGCCCAGTGTCTGCTTGCGGAAGATGGGATCGAGAAGGACATCCGCCTCGTCAAGGATCAACGACCTGACCGATGGCAGCATCCTCTTCACCCCCGGTTTCCCTCCTGTCAAGAAATTCAGCAGAATCTTGGGCGTCGTCACGAGGATGTCCACTCTGGCAGGTCCCTTGGGCTCCTTGGAACGGCCCTTCTTGTCGCCCTTTTCAGCATCCGAACCCTCTTCCTCGCTCTCTTGCTCAGCACCATCCTCCTGCTTGCTCTCAGCAACGCCCTCTGCATCCTCCTCCAGCCCCTCCTGCCGCACCTCGTCAGCCACCAGGTTCAAGCTCTTCTTCATCAACACCACCCTAACCCCGGTCCCCAGCGCCAGCTTCCGCCCCTCGTTCACAATCTGACTGGCCAGCTCCCTCGTCGGTGCAACAACAATCGCCTCGAGCACATACTCCCGCGCCTCCCCCTCCTTAACCTCTCCACGTCTGCTCATCACCCCATCAATCGCCGGGATCAAGAAACTAATTGTCTTCCCGCTGCCTGTAGGCGCGACTCCTAGGAAGTCGACCCCCCTGTCCCCGCCGAAATTTATGTCCTTGGACTTCTTCAGCGCCGTCTGCGGCCGCAGCAGCAGCGGCAGGGCGCCCATCTGCACCTCGGTGGGCACGCGGAAGCCCTGGCGGGTGAGGTTTTCGGCGAGGGTGGGGTGGACGTCGTAGACGTACCTGAGGGCGCCGAAGGCGGCGAGGGGCTGGGGGTAGATTTGCTTCTTGTCGTCTTTGCCCGCGGCCGCCGGGTCGGGCTTGGGGGTGGCCTCGACCTTCTTGCCCTTCCTCGACCTCTTGGTCGGGGGTTCTTCTGCTGGCGGCGGCGGCGCGGTGCGGGAGAGGATGGTGAGCTTGAGCCTGTGCGAGCGCAGGATCTGGCGGCATTCGTCCTCGTCGAGGAGCTTGGAGGCCTCGGGCTTGGAAGCAAGGGGTTCGGGGTTGGCGGCGGGAGCTGAGACGGTTGAGGTGGTGTCGGGCGCCGGGGCCGCTGGCTTGGGGTTGAAGTAGTCGACATCGCTCACTTCGCTGTCGTTGTCGCTATCCTCGCCGTCTGCTGCATCGTCGGCCTGAGCACCCTTTCTCCTCTTCCTCTTCTTGCTTTTTGTTGTGCCGATATCGTCGTGGAAAAACTGTGGGTTCGGGCGCGATCCCGACGAGGGGAGGAGTGGTGTGCCAGCCGTTTGCGCTTTCCTTTGGGGATTGGGCTTGAGGCCCCGGGAGAGGACCTTCAGAATATCCATGGCGATCGAGTGTGATTTGGTTGTTGATGCGCAAATCCGAAATTTTGGAAAGGCAATTGGCAAGGCTGACGGGGAAAAATTGGCCTGCCCCGCAGTGGAGACAACACGGGGAGCTTTGGCCTCGTTCGCCAATTAGCGGATAGGACCGAGCAGGGATGGTGCAGCCTTGTAAATGCGAGCAGTTGACGAGGGGACACGGGGACACTGAATGATAGAAAGGTATAACATAACATCAAATATCGACTGCGAGTAGGGGACCAGATGAAGAAAACAGTATTTCAAGAAGAAAAAAAATCCCTTGCTACCAAGCCATTACAGTACTCGAGTGTAAATTTTCAAAGACTTGACATCATACACGTCATACGTTCAGGTGTCGAGTTGATTCCTATGGTGATAGATACATTGGCCCTTCGATGTTGGGGCCATCCATCTCGGCCGAGTATGGCATGTCATCCACTCCGTAAATCATATACTACACTCCGCACGCTACCTCCCGTACGGAGCCCCAGCCAACCCAGAAAGTGGCCTCTTCCATATTTGAAGAGGTAACCCAAAGGCAGGCAATCCACCCAACGACCGCAGACTTGGCCCATATCCTGCCATTGAGCCGAAACCCAGCACAGCCGAAGTAGCAAAGGTGAGGAAGAGCATATTCGCCGCAAGAGACGTCCCGACGCTACCTTTGTGTGCATTCCCCACCGCCTGACTTTGAAGTGCCCGCCTCTTTACACCAGCCCAAAACCGGTGCCACGCCTGCCCAAACACAGGCACATCCTTGATCAGCCCATTGGCAAACCGGGCTCCAACCCGGAGAACTCGGTTCTCCGGCCCATCCCGCACCCATAGCAACTTCGACCCTGGAGGGAATACCGCGGCCCATAGCTTTTTGAGAGCCTGCGCACAGGTCGGGTACTTTTCCCTCATAACGTCACTCAACCACGGCCTCGGCAAGGCCGTAACATCCATCAACGCCAGGTACGCAAGCCCAAGACACCTCGTCTCCCTGCTGACCCCATCCCAATCCACCGCAGCCAGCACCTCCAAAACGTCCCCGGCCAACCTCTCCAACCTAATCCGGCCCTTCTGCTCCGGCGCCAGCATCTCGCGCACCGTCTTCTTGGCGGTGACCCACCCCGCGGCGGCGGCCGCCGCCTCCAGCCGCTCCTCCTTCTCCGCCACCGCGTCCGTGTCGAGCGCCGACATACCGAGGTGCTCGGCGCGGCGCGTCATGGCGGCGCGGATCGCCGGCGGCTCGGTCCAGGCCAGCGGGAAGGGCAGGATGGCGCTGTAGGCGGGGCGGGTGCCGGCGGCCCAGTTGGCCGAAGAGACGTAGAGGGAGAGGGCGAGCAGGGGCGCCGCGTGCAGCGCCAGGAAGGCCGTGTACGCGGCCGAGTCGGCCTTCTGGGCGGGGGTCAGGGGCGGTCCGTCGCGGACGACGCCGGTGGTGCGCATGGAGATGGAGGTGGCGGTTTGAATGAAGGCGGTGATGGCGGCGAAGCTGGGTATCCAGGTATTGGTGGAGCGGATGTAGAGGGAGGGGAGCTGATCTGGGAGGGTGTTAGTGGAGGATTTGAGAGGCGGCGGGGTGTCTTACTGGTTGGCACAGCTGAGGGGCTGGTTGGGATGAGTGTGAATACTCCAGGACTCAGTGTTTGTGTGAAGTATGCGATTGTTGCGAGACATTCTGGGTCGATAGACGGCAGGCCAAAGGCCCCGCCCCAAACGTGAAGTTCCATGGTTAGTTCCATCAAAGAAAGTTTATTATTTCAGTGTTGTGGCTCTTATCGAGAGAGAGCAAAGGGGATAATTGGCGATGAATAAGTTGGTGGAATGGGGTGCCCTAGCTCGAGTCCTGGACCTTCAAATCCACAATGCAGTGCTTGTCAAATTGTCAATCAAACCACCGTGGTCCACCTCCACGAACTCACGTGGCGATAACCGCCGATAACAAAACCACTCAATCTCATCTTCAACTCCCCACAACAAAACACACGCTAGGCGGGAAGGACGCGGGCAGGAGCGCCGCTGACGAAATCAAAATTCGGGTATCGGCTAGGGAAAGTGGAACGATGCTCAGCGCAACTCGTTCGTATTCTTTTCCACTT